GGGTGGAGGTGATGGTGTTCAAAATAGCTTGATAATAGCGCACTGGCAATCACGTGAGTGCCAGAAGATGCGTAGACAAAAGCTGCATGGCTCAGAGCTTGACAATTCTCAGCCATCTGTGCCGGCCTCGACGTGTTGACACAGCCGTGCAGCGGCGCAGCTCCTCCGCTGGCCCCGCGGGGCTTGCCTCCACTTGTGTACGCTGGCGCCGCAGCCTGCGCTTCCTGATCATCAAACTGATTGTGTGTCTTGCGCCCGCCCCAGGGCCCCCGCTACCGTCGGATGTCAGGTGTTGACCGCTGGTCAAACTCACCAGCTCGTACAGGGCGGCCGCGGGGAGGTTGCGGAAGATCCTCTTGGGGTGCAGCCCGCTGTAGGGCAGGGTGATGCCAGAGGCCACGACGTCTTCGAGGGGCTGGCGGTGCGCCATTATGGCTGGCTGGCTGGCTGGTTTGCAGCGTTGGTGCGATTGATCTCAGCTGGTGGGCGCGTGGCAGCTACTGCCCTGCGAGGGGACATAAAAGGGCCATGAGAGGGCGGCGTGGTTCTTTATCAGAGGGGATGAGGATTGCAGTGATTTCCTGGGCAGGGACGCATGCAGGGCCTGCAGCTGCTGATGCTGTTTGTGCATGATGTCGTCACGGTTGGCTTGCCGCAGGGGTCGCCGCGCTTCGCGCACACAGCGCGTGCTTCCGCCAATCATACGCATCATCAATCGACCGTTGAAACCTCAAGGTAGTAATCTCGAAACACCCCTTGCCCCCTTGCTCCATTCGTGTGCTCACTGGCCAGATTTTTGTTGCGGGTACCGAAGGCGATCTGCGACACGCGAGCGTGGCAGGAAGGAGGGATGGGGCAGCGTCTAACGGGAAGATCTATGTGTAATAACATAACAACTAGCATCGTTCCCGTTCACCGGGTGTGATGGGCAACGACGATGTTGCGTGTACTCGCAGGTGAGGTTGTGTGCCGTGTGTGACAAATTCCCTACAGAATGCCTGCGACTGTTGGATAGGTCAGATTTAGGAGACTTGTTGAAGACTGCGGCGGGTGTAGAAGGGCGAGGGGCACTGGTGACGTGACAAGCCAACGCCTGAGGCTGGACTGGGCCTGACGCGCTGTATGAAGTTGAAGACTGACGAAATTATGTGATCATGGCGTGGGAGCCTGATTCGCTGAAGAGCACGTGACACACCTGCGCGACCCGTCCAACCGCTGGACACCGACAGGTATGTGAGGACGTGGCCTTGAAAGCATCGATGTGTAGTTCTTTGCTGTGACCAGACCCGCCGGCTGGCGCTGACTCATCCCGCGCTCTTCCGCGATGTCCCGCGTCACATGGCAGGGGTCACTTGCGATGGCGATGATCGTCGAGCCGCGCGACGGCCTGCGACGGCCCGCCGCCATGCGCGGCTTGCGTGTGGTTTCCAGGGGCTTCACGTCTCGCCCGCCGCCAACAGACAATACTCTTGACCACACATTCCAACGGCCCCCCGCACCCTGCAGTTGGCTGCCGCCCGCCCAACTACCGTTTTGCGAGCGAAACCTTTGCTCTCAAGTATAACCCTGGTTGCAAGGTCGCATTTGGTACCACTGTACCATTGACTGCACCCTGAAGATCACAAGTCTAACATCATAATTTACAAGAGGCAAAGATCGAAGACAGCGGCGACAGTGCCCAGCCAGAGCCCACGCGCAGGCGCAGCACAGAAAGGTGGCTCTTCCGCCGTGCGCCGCAGGCGGCGGCGAGTGGCGAAGCGCGCCGCGCGACGCTCACTCCGCCGCGGCCGCGGCCCCTGGCTTTGCGGGCCCTGCGCCCCCGAAGAGCCTGCCCGTGCTCTCGTTGCCCAGTAGATACTGATTCTCCGCCTCCTCACTGTGGTACACGCACGACACCTGGCGGCGGTTGAAAGTTTTGTGGCGGTTGGCAGTTACGAGGTTGGCAGTTACGCAGCGGCAGCTATGTGGTTGGCAGTGACGCTGCGGTTGCGCGGCGGGTGAATCGCGGGTGCGCAGCCGTCGCACGGCGGTCACACGGCGGCCGCTCGGTGGCCGCGCCGCGAGGCGGGTGCAGCGGGGCGGGTGGGCAGGCCGGCGCAGGGCGGGCGTCGTGGCTGGCACCGGCTGGCGGCTGGCAGTCCTGTTTACAGCTGGTGCTGCCAGCCATGCAGGATGCAACCCAAATGACGCGGCGGCCCCACAGAACAGGATGCTTGCGCATCACCTGTGCCTCAAACCTTGACCCATATGCCCCCGCGCGCATGCGTCCTGCACAGCGCAGGCGGCGACTGTGGGGCGCCCCCACCCCCATTTCTCACCTCTGGGTCTTTGCTGAGGTCCCCCACAAACCCAAACGTATTCATCCGCTTCTTGCACTGCTCCGCCTGCGCGGGCGGGGCGCGTCGCATGGTGGGCGGAAGGAGTCGCCGTCGGGGTTCCGGTCAAATAGCTGTGCTGTGCTGTCGGGATGCTATCAATAAACGCCGCCTTTCAGAGCCAACGCCATCCCTCGCTGCCGGAAACGCGCGACGCGGTGCCGAGCTCAAGGGCGCCAAACTGGTCAAATCTGCCCCTTCTCGGACCCACAAATATGAGACAAGCAATGACAAGCTGCAGACCCCACAGCTCAAAGCAACAAGCCCGCCAGGTGACCCACAGGGGGCACGCGCGCGTCAAGCAAGGAGGTGCGGCCGCTTGCCTGCTTGTCTGTGACGAGCTTCTCCCGCTCCAGCACATTGAAGTTTGACCGCCGCAGCACGCAGCCCGGCTTGACCTCCGGCTGCGGCGCAGCGCAGAGG